TTTGCCACCCCACTTTTAGTTACTTTAGTTAATGATTTACCTGATAATTAAATAATAATAGATTATTTGACTTTTTCTTGTAAATATTAAGAGTTCCTGCATTGCAATGTACAAACACAGTGGTAACATCATAATCTAGGCCATAAAGATATCAAAAGAATTTGAGTTACGCCTGGGAGCCATAATGAAGGAGAAAAAGCCCCTCCCCTGCAAAAAAACAACAAAAAAACAAAACAAATGAAAGAAAGTGGATGTAGCACAATCCAAAGTATGGCGTACAAACGACAAACTAGTTCCAGTGAGAAATATGCCGTACGTCGAAATGATAGAAGAAGACTTTCCTAAGCCTCCCCTTGTCCTTCGCATTTTGTTCACATTCAGCGTCCTTGCAACGGGTTTACATCTTGTCTCAGAATCATATGAGGAAAAGTTGACTGACAGTATTTGAATTTTGATTGCTAGTACAAAAGAAATGCATGTCCTTGCATAATCTACGCATTCTCCATATTCAAGTATGCAAAATTACTTTTTAAGGGAACCCACTAGGCTATTGTGACAATGGTTTACTGATTAAACAGGCTGCAATATATAAGCTATCAAAATTGATTTTGACAAATGATTTAGAGGCAGAGGTCGAATTCAGACTCTGTTCCACTAAAGCACCATTCACTGTTGATGAATGGGGATTAAACAGCAAAACCACAGCATAGAAACAGAGACCACTTTTAATGCAATCATGACTTGGTCGTAACTTAATCCATTTGATGAATTGTACCAGGTAGCCGTACGAATTTACTACGTGTTCCTCCATCTTTGTTTAACAAAAGAACACAAAGAAACATTTTTATTTTAAAAACTCAGATGAAATGATTAAGTATGACCGCAGTGTCATTTCAAAAAAAAAAAAAAAAAATGCATTTAACGGTTTAATCGAACTAACGATACCAACTTATGCTTCTTCTTTTTTCATTAAATTTTTCTTTCTTCTCCGCTTTCTTTTTTCAGCCTTTCCTAATTGGGTTACTGTTTCTGAGTATTAATTATGCATTTAATTTATTCATTAAATACTCAGACATAAGGCATAATCAGTATTTCTTTTTCTTCTGTATTGTTGTAACAGTTGCAGATTTCAACGAATTAGATAAATAACGCATCATTTATTTATTTATTCATTGATTTATTTACCTGAAGCAAAGGGTGGAGAAAAATCCCCGGGTGACTGCTGAGGAACTGCGAAAAGGATTTGTCAGATGAAGGTACTCAGGTTTCAGCTCAGACTATAAGACGCACACTACAAGATGAAGGCCTCGAGGTGCCGACCCCTGCTGACTCCAAAGAACAAAAACAGTCGACTCCAGGTCAAACCACAAAGCTTTAGGGATACTGTTTTCTGGAGCAACAAAACAAAATTGGAACTCTTTGGGCCTCTCGATCAACGGTATGTCTGGAGGAAGAAGAACAAGGCCTATTAAGAAAAGAACATCTTGCCGACTGTGACGCATGGGGGGGGGGGGCCGGTCTGGCTTTGTGGCTGTATTGCTTCTTCAGGTACAGGGAATCTCCAGCGTGTGCAAGGTACCATGGATTGTCCGTGTAGGTTCTCATCCCGGTCATTTAATCCAAAAATAGTTACCTCGAGGTCAACTTGACAGTTCAGTTGAACTTAAGTGAACTGAAGAAGCCTCTTGGATGAGAGGTGAAAAAAAAAACACCCTACTTCGTCCAGTTGCCCTCGATGTAACTATTTTTGTACCATGAATTCTATTAACTACCAGATCTTAGCTCTTCCAAGGCTGGAACATTCTGGAGTGGCTATCGCAATCACCCGACTTAAATCCAATTTAAACTTTTTGGTGGGACTTGAAGAAGGCAGTTGCAGCATGCAAGCCAAAGAATGTGAATAATTGGGTTGAATAATTTTGAACACAACTGTATATGCATCTATGCCTGTATGTAAATATATTTATATATGTATATATTTATTTATTTATATATATATATAGATAGATAGATATAGTAGAAAAAAAAAGTACTTGCTTCTTTTCTGGTTGCTGTTTGCAGATTTTTTACTCCCCGCATCTACTTACATCTTGCAAAATCAGAATATAACCTGTGACTTCAATCTCATGAAATACAGTCATTTTTGTTCAATTTTTTTAAATTAAAGAATTGAACCGAGATCCTTATATTTCTAATTTTTTTTTTAGCTTTGCTGTAAACTCGGCTATTTTTGTTACTTGCTTCACCTTCCCGTCTATTCAAGTCTGCGCTGGTTCTCGGTCGTCAAGCAAACAGATGGAATGCTCAGTGTTAAAATTTCATCTGTGAAAATGATTTATTTAAATATTATTCTGATATTGTCAATATATTACAAACTGTTTGCGATGTTTCAGTACAGAAGCCTCACACAATACCAAAGGGACAGAAAGAAAGAATAGTTATGATCCAACAGCTCAACAAATGGACAGGACAGCATTAGAAAAACCAAACAAAAAAAAAGAAAGAAATACATGAGGAAAAAACTAGTACATCCAGGATGGAAAAAAAAGGTTTTTCATTTAACAGAACAGAAGATGAATCGTGTCGTGGTTCTGAAATATCATTCCTGGATAATGAAGAAGATGTCGCTCCTCCTCGTGTCGTCATTGTGATCTGTTCTCTTCTTTGGTTATAGAGGCTTCGTTGCTCAGGGGCACTTCCGCCTCCATCAAAACCCAAACGCATTACTCAGTTTCGTGCCAAGCATCGGTTAAACCTCACTCTGATTAAACTATCGAATCAATCCTCGCTCCAATGGTCTCTGCTTGGTCGTTCAAATGTCGTAAAGACCCAAGGTAATAGGCCCCTCCCCCATCCGCGGACCAGAATGAAAGCTGTGATGATATTTCTAATATATAGAGAGCAAGATATAGCATATATATTTTTGTTAAATACAATTTTTCCCACGTTCATTATTGAAGAGATGTCAACCAACTTTGGACTCGTTAACACTTCAGAATGAACACATGACACCATTATTACAAGTACAGAACATTACTGGCATTTTTGCCTTTTCGTTTTTTTTTTTTTTTGTTTGTTTTTTTTTAAGAAAGTGTAACATGCTGATTAAATCATTTACAAGTTGTACAGATCTGTAGTTTGTTTTTTCTACTCTTTTTTCTTTTTTTTTTTACATGAGGGTCGGACAAATTCAACATGTCCACTCAATCTGTGCACGTTGTCGCCATCGTGCTCAGGCACATTTCCAATTTCCACCCACAATAACGTAAAATAATCTTTATTCCGACCCAACCAACCAGCCAACCACCCAACAAATATAACATTCTGCATCAATTTACTAACCAAGTCTCAGCTCCAACCCCCCTCCCCTTCAAAACGTCCTTTACTATAATTCCTGCCACAGTAGTTTGACGTATTTATGTGTATTCATATGTGAATGTTATGAGCTGTCCAGATACTCCTTAAAGATCTATGGAGATGTCGGCATTAGACTGGAGACTGCAATATTTCTCACACATCTTGTACTGAAGGTGGAGTCTGCCGATGGAGGAATCGCCTTTGCTCTGTTTCCAGAACGTGACCCGCTTCATCATCATCTGAAGCTAAATGCTAACTCAAGAATTTAAGGAGTATGGTAAAACCGTACGTTGTTCAAAATGTCTGCAAAGCAGCATATGAGCAACACATGCATGGGTTTTGCTTTTCTCTTGAATTTTCAATTTTTTTCACATGGTTTTTGAAAGCAGAGTTCACTGTAGTTATGCGACAAACACCTGCATGTAATGCTTTGATGTTCATACAACTTATGGACATCTAGATACTTCCAATACTATGATGATAGAAGATTCAAAGATTTCACTTTCAGGTTTTCAGGTTTACTCTCCCTGTGGATAACTTTTTTAAATTATTAACATGACTGTTGAGTCCTAAATTAATCATCTTAAATCTTAAAAACAATGTGAATATAAATTGTTTGAAGTTTTTTTTTAGTAATTTGACTTCAGAAATTATGCACTGAAGTCAATAACAAAGGAGACCATTTAGTAGAGGTTGAGGAAATGATGCGGGGGTTGACGTTACGCTGTGACGTTACGCTGTGACGTTAGAAGAACACATCTGCCTTTTGTATTTCGGATTGTCAAAGCATTTCGCTTCTAAATGCTTGGAGCGGATGATTTTAAGAATCTCCGACATGTGTCATGTGAAAATTTTGCTAAATTAAAACCAGAGTTTTTAGGCCACATGGAGGATATTATGTTTTTGCTTTTTTTTTTTAATCAAAAGTTGAAACTTTATGATGATAAAGTTAAAATGTTTTGATTTTATTGTTATAACATTTCAAAATTATTCTCGTAATTTTTTTTTATAGAAAAAGTCAATGTTATTTTAAGGGTACACTATACGGTTACACTGTGTGCTACACTCCTCGCAAAACACATTATCTAAACTTTCGACTTTAATCTCGTAACATTACTAACTTTATTCTCATACATTAACAAGATTTTTCTCATAACGTTATGACTTTATTCTTCATAAAATCAATTTTAAACTCCATTGATTTTTTTTTTCAATTCTCAATGTGGCCCTAGTACTCTATGATAATTATAGCACAGTGCGAAAGAATAAAATTAAGCAGCCTTGCGATGGAATATGTGTGTAATGTGCATGTACATGTATCTAAAAACAAACTGTTCTAATAGAACGTGACTTTATCTGCATTTTACCACCTAAAATGATGAGGCATACCAGGGATATTAAAAATAAGCGGTGCTCGTGCCGGTCGAATTTGTGTGATATAAAATAAATCATGGGAAGGTCACGTGTCAGAATGTGGAGTGACTCATAAATTTTGACATTTACTTTATTCCTACCAAAGAGGCAATACAAATCAAATAAGCAAAGGTAAGACATAAAATACTAATTTAAGAAAAATAATCAACAAGCCACTGCAATTTTCCTCTTTTTTTTTTTTTTTTGGCCTAAAGCATGCACACCTGTCACTAACAAGATGCAACGTTTGATCATGGAAATGACAGATAAAAAAAAAAAAACAACAAAAAAACATTGAAATGTTGTTGCTTTAACCTGATGGCAAATTTTAACAGTCTGACTCGATGTAGACGTAGATTTTTTATGAGTCCTTGAGGGTCTCTTTTTTCACGATAATACTGCATGGTCTAACATGGTGAGGGTCAGCTAAATATACAGCACAAAAACAGGGTTTGGAATTAAACAAATATATATGAAATCTTATATATTACACAAATATAAATTTTCCATTTTTTTTCTCGTTCACTTTTAAGCAATGAACCACATGAATCGAAACAATAAAAAGGTCTTTCCTTCTCCGACTCTATCCTTCTACGACACAGGGTCCCTTTTTTTTCTCGCTCCCCCCGATGGCGTCCAGTTGATGTCTGTACAAAAGGTAAATCCGAGTGGTTTAAAGGTGATTGTGGTGTGTACGGTGGCTAATAACGATGTCCCAGGAACAATAGATAGTGGTGGATGGTAAACTGCGGGCCGACCGTGCTGTCTGCCTGGTGGGTGTGGGAGTGTTTTGAAGATAGGAAGGGGTTGAGGTGAGAACACGCAATTTTCGCGCTCACTTTGGGAGCACAGAGAGAACGAGAGAACAAGATCTGGGAGCAAATGGTGTCAGTTCTTCAAATTATAACAAGGCATCCCACAGCAGAGCACACAGCAGAAGGAGGATGGTCAGGCCACAGCTGGTTGATATCCTTGTGCCTTAGGAGACAAACGAGAAAAGCAACAATAAATCTTCCAACAAAAAAAAATCCATGGGTAGACTTTTATAAAATGATAGAAATATAAAAGGAGCCCTTGCTCCTGGCCATGAGCCACATTGTGGTCCTCGAATTCTGTTTTGATTTGGGCAGATCATGATTGGGCACACCATAGCACTGAGCAAGTGCTACCCACCACTTGCTTGGCCTCCTCTCCAGGAGAAACCAAGCAGGTGTGTTTGCGGATGGCCATGTTTCATCACCATGTTACCCTCCCCTCATCCCCTCCCTGGACATTTGACTCATTTAATAACATCTTTATGTACCTTTAAGATTTATATTTGAGTAACCCTGCTCCTAAATAATTGAGATACTTTAAACAAAATGCAGAAGTCAGTTCAAATATCTAAGGGCTGAATTTAGTTTTTGTGTGAATAAACACACAAAAACATTTAAACCATTCAAATTTCAAGAGCGAAATAATTCACTATTGGAATCTAGTTTTGGGCCAGAAATGTCCCCCAAGGTCAGAGGTTTCACTCCCCTGATTTAGAGTATTCACCCATCTGCATGATGTAGATCAGTGGTTCTCAAAGTGTTATACTCTTTATGTACCACCTGAGAAAACATTGAGCTCTCTGAGTACCACCATGGTGACCAACATTAGAATATAGCAGTATAGGCCTTCCCTATTAGCTTCCACCACACAGGAGCGATGTTTAGAAATGTTTATAAAGATGTCCCCGCGTATCACTGGTGGTACGCATACCACAGTTTGAGAACCAATGATGTAGACTGTCGGATAAAAAATGTATGTACATTATGAACATTCAAACTCCATCTTGTTCAAACCAGCAAATCAGTCATCTCGTGGCAAGGCAAGCATGCTAACCACGTCTTTTGCCGAGTGGCCCAGATGTGTCTATTATAGTGGACTACTGTTGGAGGAAGGTTAAATAAGTTTTTTGTAACACTGTGAAACTTGAACTTCTAAGTCTGAAAGTTCTCCTCATTATGAGTGCAGTCTTTATCTCTCCTCGGGAGAGTGAAAGCATCACTAATGATACACTCTGTGAAGTACTCACCTCAAAGGTTTTCTTATGGTGGGAATCAATAAGAACATTTTTCTACCCTTTCCCGTCCATTGTGAAACCATTTTTTCTTTCTTCATTATTTTCATATAGGATAGCAATGAAGAATTGAATGAAAAATCTGTAGCTGCTAAAATAAACCATTATGATGCCACCAACTGGCAGATGTTCCATTATACAGACACTATTTAGGAATTAAAAAAAAAAAAAGAAGGAAAACCTGTTTCAGTCCAAATCTGTGCGGAGATGATGTCATCCCTATCATCTCTGACTAGGCCAATCAGATTCTTGTATGATCTACTGCCTTTAACTCTCGGGATCTGGCTGCTCAGTTAAAGTCTAAATCAGCAATACAGTTCCCCTTGAAGGGACGGTTGTAAATGACATATTTTATAGATGTAACTACTCCATAACATATTAATAAATGTGTCTGCAATTGATTATTTATTCAAGTTACAAATATTGATCATTTATTTGTAATAAAAACTAATTTATAAGGTTAAGGAACTCAGCTACATGGACTTTAATAAATGTATTTTAAGCTCCCGCAGGCCAAACAATAGGACTTGGCGGGCTGTATTTGGCCCCAAAGCCTTGAGTTAGACACATGTTGTCTAAATGATCTGATCGCATGGCTGTGAAAAGACTATGATATAGATGACTTTTGTTTTGAAAATTAATTGTGCATCATGGTGTAAGTCACTGGTCATACCATGAAACTGGTTATACCATGAAACTACACACTCTCTCTCAGTCCAGTAGGTGGCGGTATGCACTTTTTTCATTTATTAATTAGCATTAATCATCACTTAATTGATACTCATGTCAGTTTTGATATACCAATACGACAAAATTGATACTACCATTACTACTATGCACCGTTACAGGAAATGAGGAAAAGTAAATATATTGTTAAAGTTCATTAGGTATACCACTTAGGCAAGTGATTTATTACCGGTGACAGTTTCGGCATTATACTTTCTCCTTTGTTACACCATCACCAGATGTCAATGTTGACATGCCTGGCGTGGTCTTCCTGTCAAGTCAAGCTTCCTGTCAATTTGAACCTAAACATTTTACACAGAGACTGGCAACTTTCTGCTGCACTGCTTCATTGTCTAGTTTGTTGGTTTTCAGGCCACCGCTGCGGTCAGGACAAAGGAGAGCTCAGATCACAGTTGCACTCTGCCCTGACAACTGCAGAGGTGGCAAGAGATCTTAAAAACGGTAAATCTACAAAAATCGTGAGATGCCATATGGCATCCTGTCACATCTCCTCAGGGAGTCTGCCACAGACCAGCTGGCAGAGGTTTTCACCCACGACCGGAGAAGTCCTCCATTACCTGCATGAACGACTACAGCCATATCTGTGATTATTCAGACAGGTTTCATGAGAAGCAACAAATGACAGCGGCGCGGTTCTAATCGCTGGAGTAACAGTCTCCATTAGCGTAAAATTCAGCGAGAAAGATCCGAGTAAAAGACAACAAAGGTGAAACGGAAAATATGTGAAGTAGCAATCATGGCAAAATAAAGCAGGGAAAGTGAGATATTCACTAAATCATATTGACATTTACCAGGATTCTTTCCAAAGCAGGTGACGGTTTTAGAATAGAAATCTCAGAGCGGCTCTGGCTGTCCTGAGTTGACGGGAAACAAATATAGAAAAGCAAGAAATGCAAGGCTTTGACCCTCTTCCCACATCACCGTCTCATTCTGCTTCAGGTGATCTAGAGAACAAGGGCGCCACATGGGAGCAGCAATCACTCTATGGCCAAACATTCGTCTCACAGGGAATAATTAATCAGCCTCCGGCTAAGAGCTGAAGCTCGGAGAAAAGGTGAAGGTATAACATAGTATATGCTGCACACATAATGCTAATGCTGTATTTCTGTATTTTTTTAATGCCACACGATAACGGCGAAATATATATAAATTATTTCAGAAAATTTGAAAAACAACACATGATTAAAAAGGTATATAGTGAAAGCCGTAGCAAACATCCAGTCAAGTCAAGTTATTCTTGGCAGGTCCAGAACTGAAGAAGCTCTTCAAGAAACCTACTCCCCCCCAGCTGTCCTCGATGTTTATCTTCGCTGAGATCAGTTTTCAAATTGCTGCCAACAAATTTAAATAAATAAAATATTGTCATTTTGCGTTGATTGAAATAAAATCTAAAAAATAGACGATAATGAGTCCTTGAATATGTGTTTGTATATGTTATGTACAAATAATTGTGTTTTGTGTCCTTCATGCGATAATTACAATACACAATTTGATTGCTAACTTGATTGTAATTCAGCAAATACAATCGGTTCCAAACAATCAACGCTAGATACCGTGCCCTTTTCCATCATACAGAGGGGGTCATTGAGTTATGTCAGAATTCTGTTCCTACGGTGCGACGTAACTGGATTTTTGCCATAATTGAGAACTTACATACTACACAAGTACCTATGTCACTCATCAATGCTAACGCGGTGGTAACATGATAATGTTATGATAATGTCGAAATTCTACGACAGATCAACCCAAAAACACAACACAAACAAAATGAAGCTAATGCAGCACATTCCAATCAATAGATTATATTATTATTATGCAATTCAAAGCGTACGACTCGCATATAAAAATAAAACCATCTTCCACATATAATGCCCCATGGCGATGTATTTGTTCGCTCCGCTCGTCTAGTTGTGAAATTTGTTTACGCCGGACATTGGAATGATGGAAGAAGACTTTCCTAATAAGTTTATGGTAAACGGAGAAGTAATTACCAAACATCACAGGTCGAGGACGTCAAAGCCGAAGACCGCATGTATATTTTTCAATTTATTTGTTTTGTAAAAAAGTTGCACAAGCAATTAAAAAGCAATTTGTCACATTGGTTTTTTTTATGTCTTCCACGTATTTATTTTAAATTAATCATTCATAACTGATCAAAAAAGTCAAAAGCACAGACTGAAAAAGAAAACCTTGTGATTAAGACAAATAGCAGTAAAGGAATTGCAGTAATTGGCAGTGGCCTTGACAACACTCACTGTAATGGCATGGCATATTAATTAAACGAGAAAGTTTAATTAGCTAATTAAAAAATACAGTTGCTAAATCCTTTGCAGATTAAGAGTGAAGTCTGATTCCAACGGAGTCACTTGCAAATCCGTCCAAGACAATATCACCGCAAGTTGACAGTTTCACTGTTGTCTTCGCACAGAGACTGCAAGTAAATGCTGAATTTGAAATCTTTAACCCCTGGACCGTAATTAAAGCTAAAAAAAAGGCACAACGAGCACGGTTGCGTAACAGCTTTTTGTAATCTTTCAAATGATGCAAATCAATCGATGTTGGACAGATTGACTGTTGCTGCCGCTTCAGTGGTCTTTCTTGTTTACAACCTGACAGCCTCTAAATCTATCACATCTCTGGAGATGCTGCATTGTACAGACCCAAGGCGGTCCAGAGAAAATAATAGATACTGTTTTTTAGTTAGCATACAGGTGGCGTCGATAGAAGAATTACTAGTCCAAAACACCTCCTGTGCACCATGAGGTTGATGAGCCTAAGATTCAGTTTAAGGTAAACTACATAGTATAGCTTAATAAACTCGACTCTTTTTCTCTTTCATTTTTGTCCTTTCAAGTTTATTGCAAACACAACCGCTAGAGTTACGCTAGTCTATAGACAGTTAGCTAGGTTGTAAACTTGTAATGCAAACACATATACAAATTTAGCTTTTCATTTATTTTGATTCTTTTCAATTTATTTCACTGTACTAACAATGCATACGTGACATATAGTCACTTACCGACAAGGCGTACCATCATACACTCCATCTGCGCTCCATCGTACGATAGATTAAGTGACATGGTACTAAATGCTAGACTAAACTACGTTTTCTCATCAAAACACA